TAAAAATTTTAGATATTCAAAAAATATATATAATTTTGAGACATAAAAAATAAGAAAAAAAAATTAAGCATGTATATTGATTTTTTTTAAGTAGTTTAGGATTGTTGTTGATCTGGGTTTCTCAGAAAACTGATGAAGAGGCCGACAAACATGTTCTTATTGTTACCTCTTATTTAAAATCTTTATGTTGCTTTTGATTTCAAGAAATGGTTGAATTTGGTCTATTATCGTCCGTTTTCCTGCCAAATTGCTACCTCTCATTTATCATGTTCTCAGTTATATCTTAACCCTCTTATATTAGGGTAGTTCACCTCAGTAATTTCTGGATTTAGGTTTATCTTGCTTTAATCGTGGTGAAAAGAGAAATTGTGTATTGTCATCAATACCTTATGTGTTAATGTTTCGAACTGAATTATATTAAAATATTCAATGCGATTTTTAACATTTAAAAATTTTTAAATCATAAATTTATCAATTAATATGATACTTAAAAAATTATTTATCAATTACGTGTCGTTATTTAAAATTAATCATATTATCACATTAATTAAAAAATTCATAAATGAGATACTAAATTCAAAGATCATATTGATTATTTTATTATAATTCAAAGGGTTATTAGAGATATTAACCTGTATATTATTATTCGTCGTCTTGATGACGATCGGCTAGAATATGCTTAATTAAGGATTTGGCTTTTAAGGTATTTATTTATTGATCTTACAAGCATTTGTTGTTTATCTGTTGCATTGTGATTTTCACTACATTTAGGGAATTATCAGAGCATTAGGGTTAATTTAGCATTATTTTAGGCTCCATAAGTGCCGAAGTCATTTTAAGTTGTAATTATTAATTATGGTTAGATTTGAATTTTGAGTGTTGAGATTTTCCTTCCCTTTCGTTCTCTCTATTAAATATATAATTTAAATATATAAATTTTAACATTTTATGTAATATAAATATATGAATCCTCGAATTTGATAAAAGCATGAGACCGAAGTGTCACTGTTTTTTTTTTTTAATTTTTTGAAAAATGCAGGTTTTGATTGATTGATGGTGACTGAGGTACGTAAAGGCCTACTTTAAGTGTCCGTTTCTGCATAGTGAGCGACAAGAATTTGATTTTTTTATTTCTAAAAATTTATTAGAAAAAAGAAACAATAAGATAAAATGTAAATTTATCACATTATTTATGTGAAAGATTTTAATTTTAGAAAATTATTAAATATATTAATAATAAAATTATTTATTTTATAAATAAAATTAATAAAATGATAAATATTTTTTGAAAATTTATATTAAAAAAGAAATTATGACATGGCTAACGATATCCATTTTTATGGTTTAAAAAAAATTTCACTTGGATAATATTTCAAATAATTCATCTTTTAATTTATTTATGTGAAATATTTAACTTTATCTTTAATTTTAAATTAGTTAATTTTATTCAATTCTTATTTTTATTTTAAAACAAATTGATTAAATGAAACAATTGGAGAATATTCTATAATATTCACTTAAACTATTTATAGAAATTAAGAAACAAATAAATAGCGAGAAAAAACCATGAAATTTTCTTATTTATTATTATTAAATAAAAAATAAAGAAATTTTCAAAAAAAAGACTTTATTTGTGGCTACGGTAAATAACTAAATCATCCTTTACAATGACTATTTTGTATTTTTACCTTTTTATTTTTATATTTGTTGTGGTCTAAGGGATTTTTTTTGTTGAGTTTTATTTTTTGGGTGATTGCGAAAAAAAAAAGTTAACCAACTTGAATTATTTTTGCTATTATTAAATAAATAATAATAAAATCTTAAAAGAAAATTGGCATGTGACGAGTTAGAGAATTATTTTTATTATTACTAAATAGAAAATTGAAAAAAATTCAAATTATGATAATGGTTCATGTATTTTAATAAAATCTAATTTTTTTTATATTTTAAAAATTTAATCCTTTTAAAATAATTTTTAAATATATAATTCTCGTATTATTTTAATTTTATAATTTTAATTCAATCATGAATTTATCAAATCTTTATTGTTAAAATGTTGATGTGGTCATTGATTTAATGATGTAGGTATTAAATTTTTTGATGTGATTTTGATTTTATGGATATGACAATCAATTATTAAATTATACAAGTAAAATTTAAATTTAAATTTCTTTAATATTCATAAAAATTTTATAATTATACAAGTTGAATTTGATAACAGTGCTTTAATAATTAACGCGATCAATTATATTTTATTAACTTTACTAAATATGTTAATTTATTTATAATCATTTTGAAATTTTTACATAAAAATAACAAAAAAGGAAAAGGAATGAAAAAATAAGGCGAGTGCTAAGTTGTAAGACATTTTAGAAACGGACAATTTCATTGGCAACAATCGAAGCGTCTAGTGCCACCAAAATTAGCTCAATCACATCGGATCCCTCTAGCGAAAACGAAGCCCGATGGTAGTTGGAAGCCCTAAATGTGTTTCATCGGAGCTCCCTGCGGCTCTAAACGAGGCCACAGCGTTGCTCATGAAGACCATGGTACATCTATACAAATACTTAAAGTTGTTTCATTTAAATGTAATTAGTCATTGACACAACCCTTATGTGATTGAATTGATAAATGCTTTTGTTATTTAAATAAATATTAAAAGAAAAAGCTACATATATAAAATATAAAAGATAAATTTACACTATTATAGTAAAATACTTCATCTTACTAAAAATAATACTTGATCCTATTTTTTCTAATAAAATAATTATTTGGCCCTTCCTTTCTCATATTTTTGGTTTCACCTTTACAGTGTTTGATATTATTTTTAAGTTATCTCCAATTCTTTGGTTTAGTGATTAAAGACGTTTGAGAGGACATCAAAAATTTGATTTTGAATCAAGTCTCTCCCTCCTCCTTACTTGTATTAAAATTTTATCTTCTTGATATAAAAAATAATAATAATAAGACATTACTTTTAAATGAAATACAGGAAAAGCCTGTTTTTTGTTGTGACACTCTTATATTTGAAGTCTTTTGTTTTGACAAATATTTTAGGGTGTGTTTGTTGGAGGAAGTGATACCACTTCAATAATATCAGAGGAATGGTTGATGGCTGAACTCCTACAGCATCCAGATGCATGAAAATGGTCCAAGAAGGGGTAAGAAATGTGGTGGGAAAGGAATCGAATGTAGACGGAGATGTTATCACATGACAAATTTGAAAATAGTAACAGAAAAAAAATTTGATTCTGATACCATATTAAATATCTAATTTAAAATCAATAGATAGGCTCAATTTGAATATAAGATTCAAAAAATTAAATATTTATTAGATGTGAGATAATACAAATTTAATAAGTCCTATCATATATAGAGAAATAGAGGTGAAGCCAAATATAAGGCAAGTAAGGAGTCAAACAATGAAGTTAATGGAAAAGGATGGTCGATACAAGGAGTGAGAAAAAAAAATTGAAAAATCTGAAAATTAATTCGAAATTGTAATATTCGGTTTGGTTTAATTGATTTTTTTTATTCAGTTTGAATTAAGTTCAGATATTAAATATATATATTAAGTTCGGATCAAATTTCGAATCAAGAAGTAAAAAATAAGAAAAATCAAATTTAATTGAATTATATATTTTTTTAATTTTTATATATATTTTAAATTTTATAAAATAAAATAATAATTTTATATCAAAATTTACTTAAATATATTAAAATTTTATATCAAAATATATAAAAATTAAAAATTAAAATTTGGTAAACTAAATTGAACTAATAAAATTCAGTTCAATTCAGTTTCGAATAAAATGAAAATTCAATTCGGATTGAGATCATATTTTGAATTTTTATAATATTATATAATATCTAAAAAAATCGAATCGAATCCTATTTGAATCAAACCGTTATCACCTTTAGCTGACACTGATATTAGATTGGCTGAGCTACTATATTACAATGGTGTAAAAAAATGTTGGGGGAAGGCAATGGCCATGCTTGCTCCCCTTTGAATTTGCCACTATAAACAAAGATAAAAAAAATATTTGTCATGCAATAAATTTGAAAAGAATAGTAAAATTTTTTTATTATGTTATCATATTAAATATTTAATTTAAAATTAATTAATTATTAAATAAAAATTTTAACTTAAAATATAAAACCACATAAAGCCAACCCAAATTTAATAGAAGATGTTTATTGATATCAAGAAGGTATGCTCGTCTATCAATTATTTGTATGCAAAGGGAAAAATTTTCTCAATTTTTTAGGGAGTAATTCCTCTTCATTAAAACATAGTTATTGATTCCACAATCCATTACTATAGATCACCAAAATTTACTGGTAAAATGGCAAATCTTATAATTCATATTATTGTAGTAATTTAATGTATCATATAATTTTTTTAATTATGCAATTTTACTACCCATCGTTTTAATTTTTGAAGCAAATTTACATTATATCTTTTTAATTTTAAAAGCAAATTGATCGGAAATATTAACAACTAAAAAATATTCTTAGAAGTTATTTTATAATTTAAAAAAAATTAGAAACAACATGTAAAAAAAAAAAAAACTGGAGGTAAAATTCAAAATTTTCTTGTTTCATTTTATTTTATTTTTTCATTACGGCCATTTTATTAAATATAATACCAAGTCAGGATTTTTTATCTGAAATTAAAAATATGTCGGTCAATTTATTTCAAAACTAAAAATATGATGGTATAATTACATATTTAAAATTTTAAAATAGCTTATGACAAAATATTCTCTAATTATTATATTTTAATTAAATTTAATTGAAAATTAAAAGTATGGTAAAACCCATTCTGATCTACATTTCCGTTTCTTACTTGAGTTTTACTTGGATGTCGTTGCAGGACAAATTTTTTTATTTAATATTTTTAAAATTTTTTAATTTTTATAAAATTAATATTGATCTATTATCAGCATAAATTTTTAATTTTACATGCAATATTAAAATATTGACATATGTCTTATTTTTATTTCTAATTAATTTTTAAAATTATTTTATGATATCTTATGTGCATGTTTACAATGCGATTTATCTGGGAATATTCATACAATATTTCTTCTTCGTTATAGCAATGAATTTGATTCTTGAACTGTTTCTTTGCCATCATGGAACTACTGTTTTGTAGGGTACCAGTAGCTCCACTTGAGTGGCAGATCTCGCAGGATGCTGCTAATAGCATTGTTGCATGGTTAGCTAATACCGTAGGGGCAGCAGAGTCAGTTCCAAGGGTTGCAGTAACTGGGCATGACAAAAGGCTATTTCTTGGGGTGAATTTTTACAACTTAAATTGCTATTCACCATATGATCAGCTTTCTGAGCACTTTTTACCCTTTTTTTTAGATGCTAATTTTGCTGTGAAGGGCCTGATACTGCTAAGCTTTTAAAGATAAACACACATTCTATTTGTAACCCTGGCCTCCCTTTCTTTTTGTTGTTGGTTGAAATGCTCATTCCTGTATGTCTTTTGAAAATTATGCATCTCTTCCTTCAGGTTATTGTTTGTCTTTACATATTGTCAGCTGTTGGACGGTTGGTCTCAGGTGCTACAGTTGCTTATGCTGGTATGTTCGCCATTAGGTTTTATTTTCTGTTGCTGAAATCAATCGCTACTATAATTCTTGTAGCTAAACATGAAGATGTTTGAACTGGTTAACGATGAATGAAGTACATCCTTTTGTCTTGAGATCCAGTTAAAGTTTCTTTTGTCATTCAAGCACTATGAGGTTAAAGGAGAATTGATTTTATGCATTGGGAAATTTCATTTTACCACTTTCGAGCAATCACCTTGCCATCAATATTTAGGAAATGCCACTAAAAATGTAAGAAGTGATTAGCTGGCTGATAACAAAGCAGACTTTTTTTTTTTTAGTTATAAGTTTTTCATAAGATACTCAACCGGCAAATTAGCTTCTTCGAATAAATCTTTCATCAGATGTATGAAAATTCCAATTCGTTTTGTTCTCTGAAACAGGATTATGCTTGTTCTGTCTTTATATGCTTGCTGAGAACTCCTAGTTGATCCGAACATGTGTTCCTCAGTTACAAACGCAAAGAAATGTCGCACCTCTGTCGAAGAGGATAACATGTAATTGCAAGTGCAGTTTGAACATACAAGCCTCGTTGTATCCTTTGGATATTTTGGCTAAGACTGTAGAGTTGCAGTAGGGATTTATAGTGCTGTGCTTTTCCTGTGGTTGATCTTTGTGATTAAAATTTAATTCATTTATAACATTTAGTTTCTGAGAACGAAATCCGAAGTTTTGTTGGTACAATACAGAAAAATTTAGAGGCCAAATTGGTCAAAAAAAATTTTATACTAGTAATTATGTGATACAAGAAATATGTTGGTACAATACATGTCAATATTCAATGTCGCCCCCCAAATTTAAGCTCACCTAATAATTCTGTAGAACTAAATAAAAAAAATTTTCTGTAGAAATTGGCAGGGTTATTCAGATAAAAACTGGCAGCTCATACTCATAAATACCATCAGCCCCATCCCAGAGCTCCCACGAACAACCCTGAATCAACTACTTCTCAACTGGTTAGCTATTGCGAGTTTTTCTGGAGCAATCATAATACGTGCTTCTCGACAAGTAATATGTCTTTCCAAGCTTCATAAAACATCCAGGTGATACCAGAGGAGGGCATTACTTTTAAACAGCTTGCACCCCATCCTCTGTAAAGACCTATGAAGCCCTCATCCCTAATGACTTCAGCAAGTGCTGCTGCCATGTTTGGTGGACACTTACCCTGCAAAGCTCCCACCATCAGCCGTTTTCTGGCAACTTCCAAGGGAAAGCTGATGGTGCTAGCAGTAAAACCTGGCCATATCAATTGAACCAATTTAACTGTTAAGCATTGATGCATCAATAGTCAAGATAACAGAAAGGATCTGAAAATTTGTTTTATTTTTCATAAGACACAAAAACAAGCAACTTTTATTAATGATATCCCAAAAACCCCATAAAAATTTTCCAAAACCATCAGTGTAAAGGCCAAGTTTCTCACCTGCAAGAGCTCCAACTAGAAGCATCTCTGGACGATTTAGAGATTTTTTCTTCTTTGATTGGCAGTAGGATTTCTTTAATTTTTCATACATGAAATAGAAACATGTACTGTAGGGAAGCATGCCCATTAGTGTTGGAGATATACCAGAGTAAAAGGCACCAACACCACCATCCCTGTAAATCTTACTAATTGCAATGCTTAAGCTAGGGTATATGTCAGGACTGACAGTCAGCCTATCCTGTAAGAATTGCAAGAACAATCAGCTCCATATGCAAAAGCATAAAATCAGAAAACGCGATGATATCTTCAACATGATCAGATTCAGAATCAATTATCATCCCCAACGTCAAAACAACATAAAAGATAGGCTATTCAACTATTTACCCACTCTTCAGACAAGTGAGATACTAAGAGGAGTCTGAAGCAGTAATAAGTATGATGAGTTGGAAGACATCATTAATACAGTCTATACTGTTAGATGCGCTTCCTGTATAGCTAGCATTGAAATGCAAAAACTAAAAGAAATAATTCAGCTTGATGTAGAATGTTCTGCTTTTATTTTTCTATTTATTCAAAAAACAAAAAAGGAAAAAAGATAAGAGGCTCCTGATATGCCAGATACCTTGAGAACTTCAAGAGGATGGCAAGCAAGTGTGCTAACAATTCCAGCAGCTGCACCAGCCACAGCAACTGGAGAAATCCAGGAAAGAGAAAAGTTGAAATTAACATGACCAATTTGCACTTTTGGGCTTTCAATCTGATTCCATTTCTCTTGTGCTGATATCATCGTGCGCTTGACATACTCAAATGTTCCAAGCTCAATTGCTTGGGTGGGAATTATTCTAAGCATATTGATTCCGTTTCCAGCCCACAGTCCTTGCCAACCTTGCTGCTCAATGATCTCAATAAAACTACCGGATATGTTTTTAGATCCAACACCAACCACCATTCTGGTCCTGCATATGTCAGAACTCAGAAATTATGAGTCAAACAAATATGTTCCAAGAAATGTAAGAAGTAATTTGACATAACTCATCAGAAGTTTAAGCTACAAATAGGTTTGTTGGTGACAAATGCATGATAAAGATTTTAAGCCCAAGAGGATCATGAATAAGGTAATAATGATGACAATACAACACACTGTTCTAAGATCTCCTAAACGACTTGATATCCAAAACTTAGCAAATCAAGAATTTATTACACCTTAGAACCAAAACAAATGGCACACACATCCAGTCGTATAATACAATAATGATGACAACACAACACGCTGTTCTAAGATTTCCAAAAGGTCTTGATGTCCAAAACTTTGCAAGGCAAGACTTTATTACGCCTTAGAACCAAAACAAATGGCACACAAATCGAATCCTATAATACACGAATTAACTTAAACTCACAGGTGCAACAAGAAGTGGACCCCAGTGCAATACAGGGAAAGAATATAGGGCATCCAAAGCATCATCACACAAACAATTTGTTCCTTCTTTTCCTTTTTTCCTTTTCGTTCTCTTTTTAGGGGAAAAGAACTAACATTGAGGGCAATAATAAGTAGAAAGTAACAAATTGGTTTATTATCAGTTTGAGTGGTTTCTTTTGAAATTTTAAGGATCTATATAAATTGCAGTACCGCATAGAAAGGTTTGAATGAACATGCAAGTTCTCGAACTTATACCAAAAAGTTTTAAGAGTTGGCAAAAGTTTGTCAGACTTGGACCAATTTATGCACTTTAAATTTCTAATGGTCCATGGCATAGAGAAAAATATGCAAAATGAAAAAATAAAATCGAGAACCAAGTTTGAAATTTTATGATCAAATTGGAAATAAATTCAATGTTCAGCTCTTTAAAATCTTCAACTATTAGTGAGCCATATAGTACACCTCCCCTTTTCTAGCTTCCAGGTAAGTTTCCATATCTTTGTTTACAGATTTAATGCTGATAGAAAAAAATTACACTTACTAGACACCTGGATAAAGAAACATAACCATCAGATATAATGGCAAAGGCAAGAACTCTGCAAAATAATAAATGAAACCATATAGCAAAACATGTTCTGCCAACCTGATAGTTTCTAGAGGAGCCAGAACAGCTTTTGTCATAGCTCCTGCTAAAGCTCCACTAAGAAATTCACCAACTTCTCTAGTCCTCAAGAAATCCTGAATAACAATCAGATCATGCTTTTGTGATATCGGCAACAATCTTTTAGCCCTTATAGAGCATTTAATCAAAATAATTTGCAAAATTCACTAAAGCAATATTTGTTTCCCGTTTCGGCTTCAGGAAAACAAAAGATAACAACTGTTTAAAAAGGTCACCATCTGAAATGTAGATGTCTTTTATTTCCATAATAAAATATATTCTGCTGCCAGCAAATGAAAATTCAGAAAAACATTCAATGAACTACATCAATACAAAGATTTCTCATAATTCAAGCTGAACCCTAATACTGGCAACAATTATTTCGCCATTATAGAGATTGGATCATAAAGATTCATAAAATACACAAAATCCAGTAAAAAAATTCCAATAAAGATTTTTTTTTTTTTTTTTGGTTTTGACAGAAACAAATTTAAAAAAAAAAGAGATAATGCTCCGTTTAGAAAAATATGCAATGAACTACAGTTAAAAATAAACATTTTTCTCAAGATGGGTATTTTTTATACATCTTTTATCTTTTATTCAGTGCGATTATTCTTTCCCTTATTTTCAGCATAATTATCAGCAGCCAAACATTTTATCTAATCAAAATTGAAAATTATTTGAACCAGAAAAGCATGATTTAATCTCCTGATTACTGCACTTTTTGCCATGAACAAGTGGGATTCCAAAGCAAATTTATTGTTTCTTTTATATTTAATATTTTCCATTTTCTCAGCAACCAAACAGCCCTTAGAACAATAACTAGATTAAAAAAAAAAAAACAAAATAAAAGGAAAAGAAACTCACTCTAATGGGAACCCTGAAATCGGGGAATTGAAATCGGATCTCAAAAGGCCTCGGAGAAGACAAAGAAGACGACTTTTCAAGCTCTTCAAGCTCCTTCGGAACAACCAACGCCATGTTTCCAAACACCCTGTAATTGTTCTTCTGCGATTCAAAATCCATTTTCAACATTATTACTACAACTATTATTTTTACAATAATTTATTTCCCACATTTTCAGTTTTCTCAAAAATAAAAACAAAGAAATATAAACTCAAAAAGTTAGCAAAATAAATAAAGGCAACAATTTTGATCGAATATTCAAAGATCTCTTTTATTTTTTCTTTTCCTTCGCACAAATAATTACTATAATTAAAGGAAAAGAAAAGGAAAGAAAATGCAAGAAAATTTACGTGCCTGAGGCTGAGTGGGAGATTTTTGGGCCATTATTTTTTTTTTGGGGTTTTAGGGGAAAAAAAAAGGAGGGAATTTGGTTTTCTTTCCCTTTTTGTTTGGGAGAGTTTTTTTTTTTGTCGACTTTCAGGCCCTTGTATACTGAAATAAATTTTTTTTATTTTATCTTGTTCCATCCATGATTTCCAACTGAAGCTATGAGATCTAACGGAAAATAACAAATCTAGAATTTAAATTTAAATTTAATTAATTTTTACAGTTATTTTTAATAATTTTAAATTTTAAATTTAATACTCGTAATTTAATTTTTTTTTATTTTCAAACTACAACTTTTGATGTACCAAAAATTATTTTTTCACAGTTTTACTTTTTTTTTCTTTTTTTTTTAATTTCAGTAGTTTATTTAAAATGATAAATAAATTTATATAATTATATAATAAATAAGCAAATAATAAAATTTTAAATAGATACATAAATAAATATATTTATACATTAATTAAGTACAGAAAATATTTTTATATGTAATTAATTATATATATAATAAATAGCTACAATATTTAAATACATAAATACATATAAAAATAAAAAATATATTATAAATTTTATTAACTTTTAATTATTTGTTAAATTTCACAAATATCATATATATTATAACTTTAAATGCATTTAATTTTAAAATTATAATCAATTGAATTAATTTTTCATGATAGAAAAAATAAATGAACCAACTCCAAAGAGAATACGCATTCTATCGTAGAAAAAAAAACTGAAAAAGAAAGGCAAACTAAGGAAAAAAAAAAAAGGGTTAAAGAATCCTTGACTTTTCAAAGTTAAATAAACGAAGAAATTTTGTACCTGAACACAATAAAAAGTTGACAAACGAGATTTGAAAGTCTTTGAATGACAATGAAGGAACACCAAAAAATTTCAAATCAAACTTTATTTGGGTCACCTTCACTTGGTCCCTAGTGGCATATGAATGTGTATTGAGCATTTTTTTTTTTTGGTGGAAAAAAGTTGAGAATAAAAGAGATTATTTTATTCATAAATTATAAATTTTTTTGAAATTCTTTAAATTTATAAACCATTTATTAATAAAAGATCATGCAAGCTCAAAATTAAATATTTTATATTTAAATCATAAATTTTAATTATTTTCGTTAATTTTTTTTTTATCATTCAAATGGATAAAATCTTACATTAAGAGGAAGAAAGAAGGTTGGGATTCGAATCTCCTCGAAATCTAATGTCTTTTTTTAAGATTGTCTTGACTACTAAATCAAGTAGTTAAAGATATTTACGTTAATTTTTATTGATTTAGATTAGAACGATTATAAAATAATTTAAGATATTTAATTATATACAATACTTTTTTTATAGTGTGATTATTAATATTTTTAAATTTTATTTTGATTTAATATTTTTTGAAAAATTTTAAGGATATTTTATTATAATTATATTTATTAAATTTTAAAAATAAATAACTAAATATTTACCATTTAATTCATTTAAATAAATCAAAATAAGTATTTTTTTTTGTAAATTATATCATATAATTGAGAAGAATTAATCAAAAATTGAATATTTTATAATTTTAAAATTTTAATTACAATAAACTTAATGTTGCATGTAAAATTGTAATTAAATTTTAATTAAAATAAAATTAATATTTTTATTTTTATTTTTAGTAAAATTTGTGAAATGGGGACCATTTTAATTTCCAAGGAAACGTGTAATTTGCTTTGGCATGGCATCATTCAAAACATAGCAGCCAGCCAGCCCGCCACTTATTTATCGAACTTGTTCCTCCCTTTATTATTGGTACATGCAAAAAGCAATCCACCTCTTCTTTGAGCGCTTTCTTGTAAAATTGAAAAACGTGCCTCTCTCTCTCTCTCTCTCTCTCTCTCTCTCTCTCTCTCTCTCTCTCTCTCTCTCTCTCTCTCTCTATATATATATATATATATTAAAAAAAAGAAAATGCTAACGGCAATCAATGCAACACGCGCTTTTCATCACTCGGGATGTGAGAAGGCCACGTAGCCCTATAGTTGAAACGTAAAACCGGTAACCAGGTTGCATTTGGATCTGATTGATCCTCCTATTCGTTACGCTTAATATGGTTTTTTATGTAATTATACTATGATTTTGTTGGGTAACATACTATTAATGTGATTAAGTATAAAAATTTTCATGGTCACTTCAAAAGTTCACCAGAGGTAAGAGGATTAGGTGGGATTTTTCATTCCCATCGCGTCCCTTTTTCCAAAAAAAAATATCTTGATTTATTTATTTTTAACTATCATGCAATCTTATCATTTGGCTTTTTGCATTTATTTTTTATTCTTTCAAAACTTTATTTTAAATAAAAATAATTATTATTTCAATATAAAATAATTATTATCTTTTTCTAAATTATCATTAATTCGTAATCATTTTTGTTAAAAAAAAAATATTTGCCATATTATTATCATTTTTATTAAATTTTAATTATTTAGTAAAAAAGTATTATTTAACAAAATAATTTTCATAATTTTAATTATTTACTAATTTCATAAATATATAATAATTTAAATTTTATATTTGATATAAATTTAAATTTAATATACTTAATGATCATTTTATTTTCACACTATAATTTATCACACCATCACTATTATTTTTATATCAAAACATATATTTCACCACTGATTTCAATTTTATCACTACAATAACTAATCTCATTGTTATAATAACTAATTTTACCTCTATCATTGTTTTTAATATCATTATTCATCCAAATGAACACTTAGTATTTGGAGCCTAATGACTTTTTAATATTAGTATCTTTTATTCAAAAAATTAAATTCGTATTTCTTTTTTAAAATTAACAAGTCAATAACTTGATTTTTAAACAAATAAATTGAGTGAAATACCATAAACTATTCATTGATCCAAATAAAGATATTCAATACAGATACGACCTTGGAAGGAGTAAATAGTTTTTAATTATTATAAGCAAAAATGGAATTGTTGATTTTGTCTTTTTTTTACACTATGTTTGGATAAATATTAATAAAAGAAAAGAAAGAAAAATAAAGTTTTTTAAAAGAAAAGAAATGATACATGTACCCATTATTTGGATAATTAAAATTAATAAAAGAAAGAAAAGAAAAAAATTCTAATAACCATTGTTCGGATAAATAGTGAAAAGGAAAAAAAATGATTCATTATAATAATTTTTTTCAATTATAACTTTTCATTACCTATACTTTTATAGTACTCCTGGACCATAATATATTTGCTATCTTGTCTTGACTCATAATTATTGCAATATCAATGGTTTTTAATAAAATGAAATAGGAAGATGTTTTTCAAACTTGCATTAATGGATTTTTTGGTCATTACTAAAATTTTAACACACTATCACTTTGACAATGTATTCATATACAAATTATTAAATATAAAAAATACAATTACATAAAAATATTACATACTAGTGAATTTGTATTTCCTTTTTGCACTAACCAAAAAATAAAAACATATCACCATATAGTTGTCTAACATAAATTTATTTTACCAAAATAAAAAATAAATATTTCCATCCTAAAGAAAATAAACCTATTTCAATGAATTAAAAACTTATGTAGCAAAGAAATTTTTGACATCTTTAATGACTAGATGAACCAAACACCAACCTTTCAATGACTTCTTTTCTTTTATCCTATGGGCATCCAAGCACTGCTCTTACTCTCTCAAGATTATCATTAAAATATAGGTAAGTAATAATGATTCGTTATGAGTCAATTCCTATCTCCTCCAATAGATTTCATATTTCACTTTTTGAAATTAGATCAACACGAGTGTTGAGCTTTTCATAAATAGCATTTTCTACAAGGTAAGTGCATTAGCAACCATTTCAAATCCCTCTTGAATAAGTTCACTGTCTTTGTCATCTTTTGAGTTTTGTAGCTCTTTTATTCATTAAACTACTCCGAAGATCAAATAGATTCTTAGAACGAGCTCTAGGGGATGTCATGAAATCAATGTACTCCTCATTTGAAATATCATGATTCTTTAATGTTATCTCATTTTGAGAAATTAAATTATCAATATCATCAATGTTCTCTCTTAACTCATTATCAATTCCAAAAGATTGCTTCCTTCATCTCATTCTGTTGCAGTTTCAGCATGCTCTCTAGTGGCTCGATTATTACCATAAAGAATCTCTATCTTGTCATAATTTGGAATGGGTTTAGTCATCCACTCTTGCACATGAGAATGTGCCTAAAAATTTATATGTATTATATTGTGAGAATATAAATAATAAAATATAAGATAATGAATAAAACAATAATTAAAATTTGATTTTAATAAAATCTTTATTCTTATTTCTAAGAGCACGATATTGTTGTTCAGTGGACCTAGTGTTTAGTTCACAATCAACCTCATCAATAAGAGCATCATCGAGATCTATTATCATTAAGTAATTATGTAAAATACAATAAGCTAAAATTATTACTTTCTAGGTTCTAACTCCATAAGTCGATGTATTTGTACTTGCTATAATAGGAAATCTATTTTTTAGGACATCGAATGCTCTTTCAATTGCATTATGCAAAGATGTGTGCCTAAGGTTGAATAATTCTTAAGAATTTCTTGGCAGATTATTTGAATATTCTTTCAAATGATACTGTACTCCTCTATATGGTACAATCAATTCATTTTTTAACATAAATCCAACATTAACAAGATAATATGTACCTATTCAAAATTGTAACCATATCACTATTTTAGTCTCATAAGTAACTAAATTAAATATAATATATTATATTCATTACTTTCTGGAATCATAAGCCTGTTTTTTCTTGATGGTACATCTTTCATAATTCTTGAGTCAGATATAGTACTTTCCCATCAGGTAATACATAAGTGAATTTTAAATCAAATGAACATGTTGCCAATATATTTTGTGTTGGTTATTATTTTCTACCATGACAGTTTGGAACATTTGTATTTGATACCTTCACTCTAATATGTGTTCCATCAATAGCTCCTACACAATTATAATATTGATTTTATATATTAATACTTATTGAATATAAAACAAACTTGTGA